GGCCGCCGCTGCCGCTCGAGTGTGGGCCGTCCTACGAATTCGCGCGGCGCGACTTAACCGTATATTGGACGTTTCCTTTTCTAATTCGAAAACTATAGTAAGTATCTCAAAATGGTATAAGAATTTTTTGTTCCTTTTGATTTATTCACCACCCCCAATGTGGCCCCGACCCATCTTACGAGACACCCTGTATAATATTATAACATGATTTAATAAAATATATATATATTATTTTATGATCAAAATTGATTACATTATGTCATTCTATTTAGATTAATTTAGCATACTAATTTTTACCAATGTGTTACCTAATAAATATAGGGAGACTAGTTTAGAAGGTAGGAAACTTAGTGTTATTTTAGGAAGAAAAACTTAAAAGGACAAAAGAAGAAATCAGTTATACTAACAAGAGACGTTTTACAATTGTCAGGAATCGATTTGATTCTTCATGAAATATGTTATTAAACACAAAAATCAAGAGACGTATTTTTTTTATACATGCGCTAACTCATGTTTAAATAAAACACCGTTTTGAAAATAAAAACGGTATTTTTCTTTCAATCTGAATATCGTTGGAAGTATGAAAAATTGACAAAAATTTTTTAAACAAAAGTTTGAGAATCTTATTGTTGTATTGGACCGTGCATTTAAAAATTCAATAATAAAAAATAGAATAGATTTTTAATGCTTAAATATTATATTTCAATTTGAATTAATGTTAATATCTCGTTAACTATTATGCAAATTGTAAAATGATAAAAGACTTTTCGACTCAGTTTAGTTCGCTCTACCTGTTCAGGACGGATGGTGCCGAATATCAATTAGCAGGCAATGACAGCATATGGCGCGATACTTGAAGCGCGATACATAAATATATTCAATATAATTTTACATTACTTTTTGATAAAAATTTCTTTGAAATTTCTTAAATGTTTCGGTTTACTTTAAACTACCATCAGCAATACCATATAATTTTCATAAACAATATTCTAATACGCACATATTGGAGATTGTAACTGCGTTTATATAGGAAAAAGTTTTATATAAAATAATAAATCATTTATTTTTTATTATTTTATATAAAAGTTGCAGGTTTCCTTGTAGGAAAGAAAGAGGAAATAACGGATTTTGTATATATTATCAAGATCAAGTCAAGGTCAACATAAATTTTTTAAATAAAAACCACTATTTTTTATTCTTGTAGCTAAAGTCGAGGCGTTTTTAGAATAATATAATAAAGTATTTTTTGTTAAACATTTTTCGAGTTATATAAAACTTGACAGTACTGCTGACATTACCCAGATAACAAAATGCTCGCATAATGATCGCATGGTATGTGCACACGAGTACTCGCACGCGTGTGACCCTCATACGCACGCAAATGCGTCCTCATTTGAAACTCATATCGTTCGCACACGTGTTGACACTAGTTTAATATTCGAAAAAAATATTAGTTATATTTAAAGCTTACTAATTTTGTTCCTAAGACATTTATAATAATTATCTATACCTGAAATTAACTACTTCAAATTAGTACTAAAAAACGTATCTTAGTAGCATTCGAACCTGCATTCGGAACTTCAAGATTATGAATCTTTTGCGACTATACCATTTCTTCAATTGATAAGTGTGTTATTTATTGTCTACTTCAATTATAACCATCTAAACCGGCGTATGAAAAAAATACATAGATAAAATAAAAATATTTAACAGATATAATAAAATATAAACAATTTACATTACAATGAGATAACATTGAATAAGAATCGAATAACCTAATTTCACTTGACCGATGTGCCGCAAGTATTACAATCGTTGAGAAGTAAAAAAAATCGGTTGAGAGTAAAATTTACATCCATCACTTATTTTTCATCTGTTTTTATATTTTGTGATAATATATTTTAAATGTTCACAAATATAGTGTGATTTTTTTCCAAATTTTTGCTTCTAATGCGTCACACATGTGTTCTCTTATCACGCGTAATGACAAAATGCCTCGCACATGTGTACCTTCATCGTGATGGCAATACGACGGCGATCTTGCGTGCACAATGTCATGATCATGCATGACGAGTGTCAGTTCTTCCGTTGACTTATACTAATTGTTTTATATGATCGTATATTATTTTTATATAATGTTTTACACTCACACGTATGCTCCATCACGCATGGATTGCATAGTGCTATTATTATGCTCGCACGCGTGAGATCATCATATCATGAGAGCATTGTGATAGCGTTCTTGTATGCACAACCTGATACTCAGGTATGAGGGTTATATGAGATCACACTAAATGTTATCTAGAAACATACTATTTTTGAGACTTAATTATATTATATATCTTCTATATATAAGGTGTAGTAAAAAGAAATCTATTATTTTTGCATTAAATTGAAGGCTTTATTTAGCATAGTTAGAATGATCCGATTTAGGTCCAATATGCACCGTTTTGTTCGATAACTTGTGCCATTTTGAAGGTAATTTCATTATGCCTCTCTCATAGAAACCCTCGTCCCGATTGGCAAAAAACTGGGACAGTCGATTTTCACAAGCTTCTCTTGAGGCGAATTTTTCACCAGCAAAATTATTCACCATAAACAGGAACAGGTGGTAATCACTTGGTGCCAGGTCCGGACTATAAGGTGGATGCATAAGAACCTCCCAACCAAGCTCCCGGAGCTTCTGGCGAGTCACTATCGATGTGTGTGGCCTGGCGTTGTCTTGATGGAACACAATTCCTCTCCTATTGGCCAAAGCTGGCCGCTTCTGGGCGATTGCTTCTTTCAGACGGTCCAATTGTTGACAGTACAGGTCCGAATTAAGAGTTTGGCCGTAGGGGAGCAGCTCATAGTAGATGATTCCCTGCCAATCCCACCAAACACACAGCAAAACCTTCCTGATCGTCAATCCTGGCTTGGCCACCGTTTGCGCCGGCTCATCGCGATTCGACCACGACCGTTTTCGCTTGACGTTGTCGTAAGTGACCCACTTTTCATCACCAGTAACCATTCGCTTCAGAAATGGGTCGATTTTGTTGCGATTCAGCAGCGATTCGCAGATGGAAATTCGGTCCATGAGGTTTTTTTGCGTTAACTCGTGTGGCACCCATACATCGAGCTTCTTTTTGTATCCAGCCTTATTTAAATGGTTCCAAACGGTTTTTTGTGCAATGTTTAGCTCCTGGGCAATCAAAACAGTGCTTACATGACGGTCGGACTCGACGATTTCCATTATTTTATCGACATTTTCGACAATTGGCCTTCCAGAGCGTGGTGCATCTTTGACATCAAAATTACCGGAACGGAATCGACGAAACCAAAATTGCGCGATATTGACTGTTACAGTATCAGGACCATAAACACTATTCACATTTTCAGCCGCCTGGCTTGCGTTTTCGCCTTTATCGAAGAAAAACTGTAAAATATGGCGTATTTTCTCTTTGTTGGTGTCCATCTTTGACACGCGCTCAAACAATACTGACTCAAGCAATCACAAAACTGTCTGAGAAGTTTTTTTAGTACAAAATCTTATCTTTCTAACGCCATTTGGCGTAACCCGATCGCACTTATACAACGCGAGATACAGATTACTAAAGCCATCTATTGGAAAAATAATAGATTTCTTTTTACTACACCTAATAAGATAAATCAATGAATAAGAAAATTGATATTTCTAGATATTATAGATTGCTATTACAGATTATAAATAACATTAACAATAAGAGTTATAATAGTTTTTATTATTTCTCCCCCCTTAAAGTAAGAAAAATTTTTTTCTCTGTTATTTATTACTTATACATTATAACGCATATTCAGAACACGCTTTTATCAGAGATAAAAGCGCGCTTTTGTCTCTGAAATTCTATATGTATGCGTAATATAAACTATAGCATGTTTGCGCGCTAATATTGTTGTTCTGAATACGGGCCTATTTCCTTATATCATCTTATAATAATATTATTCTCTTAAAGTTATTTTTGATCTTACGCGTTAATATCTTATTTACTTGTTATTTACATAATTTATTATTGGAAAGTAACATAAAATAAAAATTAATTCAAAATTAACGAGAGTCAAAACAGAAGGAAGTACTCAACAACTAAATTATGTAATTATTTTCCAATATCTTTATCCAATTAAACAATATCTTCTTTATTTTAAACGTATGATTTCTAA